CGCTGCCTGCAGCGGGGACCGCGGCCCCGCAACAGCCAGCGCTGTGTTTTCCAGGACTACTCCAAGTGCAAGGAAATCATGATCGAGCGCGGGGAGATCTTCCTGAGGAAAGTGTCTCTCTCTCGGAATAAAATCGCCAAGCTGTGTCATCCTTTCATCAGAGACGGTGCTGTGAGTAGGCAGCGGCAGGGGCACTCTTGCTCTGGTGCTCTGCTGTTTGCAGGAATGGGAAACAGAAGGGGAGGGAAGTTTATTAATGTTCACAACAGCATTGTCTGATGGTGGCTTCTGCAAGTACATGGCTGTAATATCATCCATCCCCGGCAGCGTTCAAGGCCAGGTTGGGCACAGGGGCTTGGAGCAACCTGCTCTAGTGGGAGGTGTCCCTGCCTGTGGCAGCGGGTTAGATTTGGATGAGCTTTAAGGTCCCTCCCAACACAAACCAATCTGTGATTCTATGATCTTTCCCACACCCCTTCAGTTTCCATGCAGTACGGGTTTATCTTGTGTTCTACCTCTGAGAGGTGCTGAGGAGTCACAGCTTCAAGTTTCCATGTAAAATAGTACATCATCACCCCTTGGCTCAATCAGGGTTGGCCACATATGGCCCATAAAGTAGTTTTCTATCCTGTGATTTGTAAAATACATGTGACAGACATTTACTGGACACTTGTGTGAAGTGAAAGCCATGCCACCATTAGCAAAAGTAAAGGGTTTCTCAAAGCTCAACAAGAAGTGATGTCTTTTTGTTTTCTGACAGCGAATACTGACACATGCCTACTCCAGAGTGGTCCTCAGAGTGTTAGAAGCTGCAGTTGAGGCAAAGAAGCGATTCAGCGTTTATGTCACTGAATCACAGCCAGATCAAGCAGGGTGAGTGCTCATTTTGAATGGTAACCATCACCAACACCACGTTATTTGGGACAAGTGAAAAAAGTCCTAATACTGGCAAGTGACTTCCCATACTAAATACTCCAATTACAGCATTATCTGGGTTCTCCTCAGAGGTTTACAAACTTTCAGTCAGTGCCAAGCAACCTACCTGGGAGATGGGAGACAACTAATTTCTAGTGATCTGCTTCAAAAGTAGGCTAAAATAAGCAGTGTGGTCATAGCAAAGTAAAACATTCAGCTAACAATGTTGTTTGAAGATGCCAGATGAAGTATATTATTGATAGGAAGAGAGCAGGTCTTCCCTCTTCAGAGTAGTGAAGTAGTAAATCCTGCATGCTGGGTAATGCGTGTTGCTAACACGTTTTCTGCTAGAATCAAGGGTGTTCAAAGTACATGTGATTCTCCAGCTTCACTGAAACAACTAGCACTGCAGCCCATGCTTTATATCCTGTTTCTTAAATGCCCTGTTGATGGACAAGCTGAGGCAGTTCAGGTACTCTGTCATCCTAAGAACAGTTCACTGACTCATCTTTCTTTAGCTGTAATTCCTGACTGGTAAAACAAACCGACTTGGCTTTTATTGGGTTTGTTGTATTCTGCTTGTTTCCATTTCTATACAATAACTGATTTTCTATTAGAGGGTACCTCATAAACCAAAACTACCAGAGCAAGGGAACGTGGGCAGTCAGGGGTTTCAGTCTTTCAGACAATACTTTTCCTAACATTGTTTTTAAAGAAAAGGCTTCTAAGCTTCAAACATGTTTTTTTAATAGGCAAAAAATGGCAAAAGCCCTGAGGAAGCTGAACATTCCCGTGACTGTGATTCTGGATGCTGCAGTTGGGTAAAATCTGACCACTAAATCTTAGTATTTTTCATCTCAGTTTCATTTTGACAGTGTTATATGCACGTCTCCTCGGCGCTGGTTCAGCTCACAGAGGTGATGACTTGGTTCCTCATAGTCATCAAACAAGCTGAACAAGTTACACCTTTAGGTGCACCATTAGGAGAACGTATCTGCTACAAAGCAAGTAGTTGACGTTTGCATGTTAGAATGAAAAAAGGAGTCAGACCTAAGTGTAGAACTTGTAGACACCTGTAAAGAACTGAGGTGCTACACAAAGAGGCTGCTTTTCCCTCATTTGCATACGTTATCATTTAAGGGTTTCTTAAGCTATTTGCTAAATTACCCCTGTTTAGTACAAGTCTAAAACATGAGAAAAGGAAGAACTAAAATAAATCTGAGCCTCACTTCAGCGAGTCATCTGTCATATTACCCAGTAAGAACTGGATTTCTTTTTCTTCCTTTGAACAGCTACATTATGGAGAAAGTGGACCTGGTGTTAGTTGGTGCTGAAGGTGTAGTTGAAAGTGGAGGCATTATCAACAAGGTAGGAAGGTGTGAGTTTATTACAGCATTTTGTAAACTCCAGGCTTCTGAAGTTTGATTTCTGTGAAGAATTCAAGGCCTTCTAAAAAAGCTTTTCTGTTTGGACATTATCCAGTAAGCATCTATGTATTGTTGGAAACTGTGCTGTATTATGTCACACTAGCACTGAGTCTGCAATGTCATTTTCCATCTGTCTCCACAGATTGGCACTAATCAAATTGCTGTGTGTGCCAAAGCGCAGAATAAGCCGTTTTATGTGGTAGCTGAAAGTTTCAAGTTTGTAAGGCTTTTCCCTCTGAATCAGCAGGATGTCCCAGATAAGTTTAAGGTAAGAGAAATTCAAATTACTTCTTAGCCAAGGGGCTACAAAAACAGTTAATACACTTCAGAACTACCACTTGTTCTTTCAACACAAGATAAACCAGCTGGGACTAAGGTGGCACCAGCCTGTGCCTCATTTTAAAGCAGTTGACTTCCTTCAGTTTCACCACAAACATCTGTTTGAGACTACAGCACCACTCTTGCCCCAAAGAGGTTTTAACTTCCAATTGTCTCCATTTCCTTTTAGTACAAAGCAGACACTCTGAAAGCAAATCAGAATCTAACAGAGGAGCATCCCTGGATTGACTACACATCACCATCACTCATTACATTACTGTTTACAGACCTCGGCGTGTTGACTCCATCAGCTGTCAGTGATGAACTTATTAAACTCTATCTGTAACAAAGAGGACTCTGTGTACAGGATGTATCATCTTCAGTGACTGTCACAGTTGTAAGAACTTGGAGGATGATAAAAGTTATATGGACATGGTAAAGAGAGGACATTATAAGGATTAATGTAATTATTGGCGTTCTTGAGGTTTTTAAAGCAAGATGTTACATATGGATGGACCACTGTTAAAACAAGAAGTAACAACAGCTTCTAAAGACCTAAAATAAATTATTTTAAAGATGAGTGGAGTATATTGATACTGTAAAATGAAATACCTTATGGTGCATTCAGCTTCATTCTGAGGTGTGCTGTTACTTACTGATCTGGAGTACATACCTGAAAAAAGCACAGTGAAAACGGGCACGAGGCTGCTAATAGCAACCTGCAGCTCCAGCCACACCATGCGAGAGCAGTTCTCTCAGCTTTGTTCTTAACCACAGGCTTGTCTGTCTTTGTAGACTCCAGATCTCTTACGAAGAAATTAGATCAATTCTGTTCTCTGCATCATTGTTTTGTTATAAAAATCCAGTTTTATTGAAAGAGGCAGTATGTTAATGTAAAACTGTGGTTAGAATAACTGTCAACCTTCAGACTCAGCAGCAGTTCCTGCTTTGAGCCTATTCTGGCTGCCTGTTAGTCTCTTTTCAAACTCTTCTTCACTGATTTTTCCCTTTTTTAATCTTTTCAAGAGTCTTGTGTCATTCAGCAACTCTTCCATATCCTCATCTTCAATATCAGAGCCCTGTTGGCAGTTGAAAAGCAACAAATTAAACACACCAATAAATGAAACACACCCCGAAAGGTTTTCATTCCACACAGCTGAATGCAAGAGAAGTTTACAACTCTGATATGCCAGAAGTATCCATGCAGGAAATAACAGTCAATTTCTGCCTAGGAAACCACCTAATTGAGAACTGAAAAAAAGCAAAGAAAAAACCCCAAATCAAGTACTGTCCATCACTGTGCCACACTGCTGGGCCTCAGAGAAAGAAAAGCCTATGCTACCTATGCAGGCAGCATTACTGACCAGCATCAGAGTGCCAAGAGGTTGTTCTAGTGTTTGTCTTTAAAAGGCTTCTCTATATTTTTTTTTTTCAAGCTTTGCCAGTCCAGGTCCTAAAAAGTTAATTTACAGTCTTTAGCTACATCAACTAAAATCCCCTGGCACTCTGCCATTGGAAGTATGTCCCTATGCTGCAGCAATCACAGGCAGTTCAATAGGATGGACACAGTTTACCTCTTCATGCTTCCTTTTAGCTGTTACTTTCTTTTTCTTCTCCCTCTTGGCTTTCTGCTTTGACCAGGCTTTGTTCTTTATGAATTTCTTTTTCCCTCCATTTTCTTCTCTGTCTTTTCTTTGTTGTTCTAATTGCTTTTGTCTCTGTTTTTCTCTATTTTTATCTTTAAATGAAATGGAGTCTGTATTAACAGTGACTGGAGTAAAGTCTGGAAAACATTTTCCTCTTAGTTCAGGCATCTTTGGCATTTTTAACAATGCAAAACCTTTGGCAAGACTTGCAAAATCCAGATCTGTGAAAATAAAGGTTATAAAGTCAGTTTCCCACTGGATAAAAAGATAATTTAACTTAGCAAGTCACAACTAGAAACACCCAAACATTGTCTTATGTATTGTTTGCATTCTACACTTGACACTAGTGACAATACTTACTCACTTTTATTTATGCTTATGTCAGTTTGGTCAAACTCACTAATTAAATGTTTTCTCTGTGAAACAAGAGAAACAAGTTGCTTGGAAAAATGGGAGTTTTGTCAGAATCTGATGCTGCAGGAAGTAAATTTGACACCGGTAATCAGGAGCTGAGGCTTGTTGACAATAACAGTGTGTTCTTTCCCAAAGCAAATACTGTCTTCTGAAAAGAGCAGCAGCAGATGCCAGCCCTTGCTGAGAATTACCTTTTATTCGGAAGATGAGATTACATTCATGTTTGGCATAAGCCTGGACATACGACACAAAGGCTTTCATCCCCTTCTCAAACACTGCCCTGTCAGCGAGGGCCATAGACTTCAGTTTTGGAAGAAGATCTAACACGTTTGTCTGTGGTTTCATTTCCTGCATGGGACACTGAAAACCAGATGAGAAATACAAAACCAAAGGAAAGGTTCAGTGGAATGATTTAAAATGCACTGCGGAGCTTCAAACACACGCTTCTTCCCCAGCTCTGAGCCTCCTTCTACACGGTCACCTCAACACATGGGTTCAGCATTCAGCCCCACACACTCTTGTCTTAGCCCAGCAGGCAGTTCACTCACCGCAGCTGGAGGGAGGCCACATCTTCATCTCACCCTTAGCAAGCCATGTTCTCATTAGCACAGAACATTTACAATTAATCCCACAAATACAGGATGAGGCACAGGAAATTATCAAACAGCCTGCAGGGTGCAGTGTATAAACTGGTGGTGGCAGGGCTGGGGGTAGGAAAGTTTAACCAGGGCTGCTCTTCTGGAAGTGCCCAATCTACACACACTTAGAAACGAAAAGCCTTTCCTATCTATCCTACTTCTACACTTACCCTATCATACAAACTCAGTAGATAAAACTGGGAGCAGTCCTGTTCTAACAGGTATTTGACAATCTTCTACTGAACTAATTAACAGAGAAAAAGAGAAAAGGGACATCAAAGCTTTGGTTTTAGTATTTGAAGCCATTCTGATGTGTAAATAATGATAATCAAGCATTAACAGAGCATATGCTAAAATACATCAGAGCAGCAGCTCTTGTCTTTTCTTAATCGTGCATTACCTGTGCATACCCCTGTAAGTTCTACAGTTCTGGACCTACACTCCTATCAGTGGGTCTGTCCCCTTGCTCTTCCCTTCCCTGGAGTACAATAAGTCTACTAACCTTTTGGTTGATTGAGAGAAAGTTAACATAAGATTCTTCCATGGGAAGCAAAAACACAAGTGCGCTGCCGACGTTGCCGATCCGCGCTGTTCGACCACACCGATGCACGAAGGCACTGAAACGACACAGAGGTGACTTAACAGGAGAGGCTCAGCCTGGTTTTGAAGTGTTGGGCAGGCAGCAAAAGGGTAAATCTTGTGGAATGAAAATACAGAGTGCTATATACTCCTGCACTAAACCAACAGGAATCAGTAAAATGTGGCAAGAGGAACATAACAGTCCCACAGGATTGTTAGGGTAAAACAAGGGGGATCTGCCTCGGGCTGAAGTTTAAGCAAGCTGTAGGGAGAATTACGACAATGGAAGTTAAAGTACATGGAAAAGCACCTTTTCTTGTGTGTTCCCAATTTATATTTAAACAAGACATTCTACCTTCAGTAGAATGAAGGTTCTTAAGACCCAAAGTTGTACCTTGCACTGCTAGGTGGGTCGTACTGTAAAACCCAGTGTACTTCTGGAATGTCTATGCCACGGGCCATCACGTCAGTGCAAACTAAAATGCCACTAGGAAGAAGAAAGAGCATGTTTTCATGAAAATTGTCATTTGAAAAGAGCCAGCCCACCCCCAGCTGTGTGTTCTGCATCTACACTGGAGAAGGAGCAACAAAACCTGGAGGTTTTGAAGAAAGACAAAATATTCTAAGGTATTTGCAGCTTTCACCAACTAAAATTCTACATAATGTTGTGAAAATGAATGTGAATTACATCACTAATAAAAAACAATTCCCTGTTACAAGTTCTATTATTAAATCACCATTGTGTGAACCACAGCTGAAAGTCATTTCAATACAAGAACTTCAGAGACTGACAATTTCCACGTTACTTGAAACAGTTCTGCTGCTGCTGCTGGGAATTATGTTTCTTACTCATTTTCTTACCCTGGGAGCTTCCGGAACTCAGTAAAAATCTTGTTCCGTTTGTGTTTCATTTTCCCATGAATGCTCATTATTTTCACTTGTTTAATTAAGGATTCCAAAGCCTTCCCATAGTATTCCACACAGGCACACGTGCTGTGGTGATAGAGACAGACATAAAGGTGAAAGATTATGTTGCATTTTTAACCTGGTTCAGACAGTCAAGGCACAGTGCTCTGAGACCTTTCTAAAATAGACACTATTGCCTATTTTTATTTGCAATATATGTGTATTGCTTTTATAGTTAACATATAATCACCTATAATGCTTTATTTTAAAAATGCATATTATATTTATGCTTTGCTTAATAAAGTTCAACCCAATCCTGACATGAAGCAATGATCAATCTCTTTTTAGGCACCATATTCTGTAAGATAGCCATAAAATTAACCACTTTCAAATAGTTGTGTCCCTGCAAACACAGGGCACAGCTTTGGAATTTAATGAAACAGAGTTACCTGAAAAAGACCAGATGTTTTTCCTGTTTGTGCTGTCGAAGAAAATGCACCAACTGATTAAATTTTTCATCTGCTTTGCAGATCTACACAATGCAAAGGAAAAAGAAGTTAAATACATGCGCCTGATACAAAGCAATCTGCCCACTTCCCCCATTCACTGTGCACTGATAGATGTCTACAGGTGTGATTTCCTAATACTGATCATCTCTACCATAGTTCCTCGTGCAGAATATTACTCTTATGTATCTTGTTTTAAATAAAAACAAATACTTAGCTCTCAGTCTTCCCCCCGCCCAGCCACACCACCTCTCCTGCAGCACTGTCTCAAATATCGCTCACCAATTGCCTAAGTCTTCCCTATCCCCATCCCCATTCTTTAGGAGCAGATCAAGGAGCTACAGCACTGTAGCTAGTTTGGAGTTACAACAACTCCTGGCCAGCCAAACAACTCACAGAGCAGGAAACAACACAGCTGCTAACTCATATCTTTCTCCTTAGCTTGGTGACTGATCTTTGGAGAACCTGTGAAAGCTTTATGTCTCTGAGGCTTGCAATTCCTGTACTAAAGTGATCCTAACTGGGCAAGACTTATCATAGAGCCAGGAAAAAAGGAGAGGGAACAAGAAGCCACCATGAAGCACAGAGGTTCACACCATGTAGTAGTTCTCCAGGCGTGTTGGAGTCTTCTGTGTGTTGCTTGCTGCCACTCCCTTCTCCTTCACCGAGATGCGGACAGGATTCCGGAGACCTGCCCTCACCAGGTTCTCCACCTCTTGAGTCTGAGTTGCTGAGAACAGACCCGTTCGCCTCTGCTTGGGCAAAAAGTCCAGAATGGCATT